GCAGGAGGAGCCAGGGCTGGGACTGCGAGCAGCGGGAGGGGGCTCTCCCAGGAAGCCCCGCGGTTGGCACCCGCGCTTCCCCACCAGAGGCTGCGCAGGCTAGGAAGTGGGGAGGTCACGTGTGGGCAGAAAGTAACTTCGAAGGGAAAAGATGAACTTCAGGGAGAAAAAAGCACCATAAAACAAGTCATTTTCCCACCCCCTTTCATCGCTGCTCCCTCCCCCGGCTGTAAAATACAGGTAAAGGCGGGAGAAATGGAGAAGGGAGCCTCGCTCTGCTGGAGACCTGGGGAGAACTCGGGGAATCTCAGGCAACAAAGTGTAAGTCGATCATTGGCAACTTTCCCCAGCCTCGGGAGGCGCTAACCCAAGGTATCTTTCCACTGACGCTGCCCTTTGCTTCCCTCCAGCCGGCTCTTGCACAGCTGAGCTTGGGCACCGCGGATGACTGTAAACCAGTTGTTATGGAGATGCCGGTTGCTCCGAGGAGCGCAAATGCCCTGGGAAGTCTCTAGACGCATTTCAGGTTTCGTCGTTTTGGCACCATCACCACTATTTTACTCTCCACCCTGGGTTCCCACGAAGGAGAGCCTCCCAACTGCGTCACAGGCCCTGGCTGCGAAGCTATTGACTGCAGGGATGAAGCAGATGCTGCCGAAGATGGTGGATAGCTCTTAAGTTTCAGACTACCAAGCCCTTTCCCATTTCCAGTTTCTTTATGCCAATCAAAAGTGCTATACTTGAGTGTCATTCGTGCTTCCTTAGGTGTAAAACCTCAGTTACAGGACAGAATGATCAGAAGCAACAGAACATGAGCATATAGCGGCTACTTCAAGGTCATGCTCCCTCCCCCTTCCCATCCCAGAAATGCCTTCCTTATGGAAAACAGGCTGTACTTCCTAATTCTGTATATGGATCTATGTTCATTGGAGCTCCCATTGGTACCAGGTTATTACTACTATAAGTAAGTTCAGTGTTTGGTTCAGATTGCTCTACAGATGTTTCCAGAGCCAACCTAGCTTATTCTAGGTTCCAGCCAAGGTACATATAGACAAA